CCATTATTGTATCTCTACAATGCTTACAGTGGGAAGCTGAAAGAGAGGAAAGATTTGTTGCCAGTCCCTCCAGATTTTATAGGATATACTCTATGTTTCTGAGACCTCACTGTTATTTCTACCTCTACGTTTTGATCTCAGTCTTGCTTCCAACTTGGCACAGAAGTCAAGGTGCACCCACCTAGGTGGGGAAACCAAAGAAAAAAGTACCTTAATTTTAGATTTTGAGATTGGGTAAAAAGAAAAAAAAAACAACACTCTTAGGACTAGGCATTATGGGACAGTCTTTAAGTACATGACCAAAGTCACCCCTGCAGCAGAGGAACCTTGGCTCATTCAGTGCACAGACTGGACTGTAGCCTGGAGATGAACCTAGACTGCAGAGCGGAGACTCTTCTGCTGTACTCCTCCCCTCCATCATGTTGCATTAGATGGAAACTGCATAGCGCAGCGGTTCTGAGCCAGGGGCACATGTACACCCAGGGGGTATGTGAAGCCTCATCGGGGGTACGTGAGATATATTTCATACATTGTCTAACACAGGTTGAAGGGCCTAAAAAACCATCTTGACAATTTGAAACTGCCGTAAAATGTGCATGCACGTGGGATTACACTTAGTTTGACATAAAAATTAATTTCCTATTGAAAGGGGATACGTGAAGTCTCACTCTGAGACCAAGAGGTACATAGACTGAAAAAGGTTCAGAACCGCTGGCATGGTGAATGAGGAAGGTGATTATAGGAAGAGAAAGGATGGCCTCATGGTAAGGGCTGTTGAAAGTTGCCCTGGAGAACTAGACTCTATCCCTATGCCTACAGGCTTTCAGTGTGATGCCTGGCACTTAAATCAAAGAGTTTACAACTGGACACAGTGTTCTTGTTTTTGACACCTATTTTAATCACCTGGGGCCTAACTTTCAGAAGTGGCAAGTGCTCACACCTACAGCTGAGATCAACTGGAGCTGTGCTTTGAATCCAAGAGCTATAAAAATGCTAAGTAAACTTGGGAAGAGAAAACAGAAATGATCAGGCCCTTCACTTCAACTTTAGCACCCAACATTAAACTGACATTAAACAATTTTGGCCTTACTTTCTCTTCGTTTCAGCTCCTCAATTTAAGATATCACCAAATCCAACAGGAGTGTTGGGAAGACAGCTTCATTAATGCTTTTGAAGTATTCCAGCACTACTGTGAGAGAACCATAGAAACACCCACAAGGTAATTAGGAAATTTACAGTCAGTTCAGGATTTGGACGAAGATACTTTGGGACCACACTCTCATTATTTAACACTGAATCATTCTTTAAAATGAAGGCAGTTTTGTAGAACACCAGTATGTGATCACACTGTTATGATGCATCTGTACAAGGGGAAAAAGAATGAAGACCTCATGGGGTGACCTTAACTCTGACATTTTCTAACTTGTGAATGAGGATATTATGAAGTTAAGCACTCTTGTTTATACAGTATACTGTACATATCTTGCCCTTGAGACAGTGGGAATTCTTTACTCCACAGGAACTAAAAAGCTATCAAAGGCCCCAAAGTTTCTCCAAGTCTCTGCTGCTGTCATCTTGGAAATCCTGGCAAATGTCAGATGCAGGAGAGTAGAAAATTCATTTAACAGCTGTATATACAAGCCATATGACAGTCAAAGTTTGGGAGGTACTAGCTATTATACAACTTGCTAGTCATAAAGGTTTACTGAACCACATATAGTCATGTGGAACTGGGAGATTTCACAACTCAAAGTGCCTGGTGGGCCTCTAACTTTGTAAACCACTCATGCTCCATGGTACTGCGAATGGAGGCGTGCGCGAGTGGCTGATAGAACCACATATTCCCCATCACAGAACACCCAGGTAAACTCTCCCTTTCCTGTTCCTACTGCCAGACATTGCTTCTGCTAAAAATCTTCCCAGAAAACATTATGGCCTTAAGTGCCTCTTGTGTTGGGAGAGCTTTAGGAACAAAACTTCAGTACAGCAGACCCCCAATTTACAACAGTCCAACTTATGTGTCTCGCGTTTACGCAATTTTTTATTAGGGTCTGCAAAATGCCCCTCGAGAAGCATGTCATTCACGTATATATGTGAATGCTCATGAAATTCACATATATACGCAAACACCTCACAAGACTGCAGGCAGAATCAAGTGGAGCTGTGCCTCCATCGTGGTAGCAGCATCTCAAGATGCATAGGTGAGACACTAGACACGCCTCCTAAAGGCGATTCTGCCGAGAAAAGGGGAAAAAAAGCTATGACTAAAGTATGTCTGGGGTACACAACCCCTCACTATTCTATTATTTCCTATGGATAAAGTTGTCCTGAGTTACGCAAAATCAACTTGCATGAAATTCCCCCAGAACGCAATACTCGTGTAAATCGGGGGTCTACTGTAGTATCATCTCATAGTTTGCTGCTGAGAATCTCAGTTGTTTTTGTTTACACATCTCTACACTAAATCCATCCTAGATATCTAGGTACATTTATACTTGCTGAGTGTTGGTCTTTTTGTATTTAGGTGTTTTTTCCCCAATGTTTAAAAGGAGTCATCTGAAGTGAGACTTAGCATTTAATGCATTACTGAAAAATAGCTACAGTTGTCCAGTGCTATTAGCAACACTATTCATACCACCAAATCAGAAATCTAACTCAAACCCATCTTGACTGATTGTCGTCATTTCCAACCAGTAGGTGGAGACAGGATATCAAAGCTACAGAAACTACTCAAAAACATTCTTCCAGGGGAACCTCCACTCAAACTGCAAAACACTACACTTATTATAGTTATTGTGATGTAACTCAGATTTCTCTCTTCCTTACCTAGTATCCAACATTGTAATTCCATTGATTGTTCCCAAATTACATTGGCGTAAGCAAAATAACTGTCAGCCCTCATGTCTCCTACTTAAGTTTACTGAACTAGTAAGTCTCATGCACAAGGTATTAGTATATTCGGAAGCATTACATGTTCCTGTGATTTGTGGCAGAGGCACCACTTTCTTTTAGTAATCCAGAGAAATAATAATTGGAAGTCAGAGGAATATTAATTTTCTTTGGGAACAAATCCAGCAAAAAATATCAAGCACTTGAAAAGCCCACTGACTTCAAACAGGAGTCTTGAGGCATTATATGCCTCACAAGACTGGAACTTAGATTAGCAATAATAAAAGTTTTCAGCAACATTCTTCAGTTTTAATCCAACCAAATATACCAAATGTGGTTTGAAAACTGCTTTATCATTCTCTCTCACTGCAGTTTTACACTGTCTGCCTCATTAGGCAAGTTACTTTTCCCTAGCAAAATTAGCATCACTGTCAACCTCTTACTGTGGCCCAACAACAAGCTGCAGACAGAACAGATAAACTTATGATCACAAAGTTGTGCATGTAGAAGATGCACAGTATTTGATGGCTTAAAGACCTCATGAAAAAAGTTACCGTTAGCAGACTCTATGCAAAATCTAAAATATGTATTCCTATTTCCAAAATTCCCTAGCTGAATTGCAAAACAGAAGTTGAAGAGCAGACCAAACTCTGGGAAACTCCCCTCCCTGCCCAAAAAAACACCATCCTAAATTTTACTCCAGAGTGAACTTGAGAAAATAAGCTATTTGTGGAGCATTTTTCTGAAGGTTAATCAAACTCAGTCTGATGACATTATGAGGGAACCAATTCCCAAACCAAGAAGCAAACATCCTACCCACTATTTTGACTTCTATGTTAAACATGGCAATTATGATTTCTTAAACAAATGCTTTACCCAGCATGCTAAAATGCACATAAGAATGAGAATTATACTTTCCTTCTCATCAAGCATACTGTGACATTTTCATAAATAAATGCAGTTAGGGGCTATACCCCTAAAAGCATAGTTAAAGCAGATTATCTAAAGTTCACTGGAACAAAGAGAACTTGTTTTAACAAATGGACCCAAGCATCAATCTTTGACTCTGAATGGTAATTCTATCTTTTACTAGATGACAGAAACAGAAGATGCAAACTAAAAGCTTTTTAAGAGCAACTACACCAGGGGTGGCCAAAGTCTGGCCTGCAGGCTGGACTGGACCCATGGCAGACTCCATTTCCCAGCTGTCCCTGCCCACATCACTGCAGCTGGTTTCCATGGAGGCCCCAGGAGTGGCAGGGCCATGACAGCATGGGGCCAGGGCTTCTATGGAGACTGGCCCCAGCAGTGCTGGCAGGGTGTGCAGCTGCTCCGGGGTTGGGATCTCGCGGCGCTGGCAGGGCAGTCAGGAGCTGCGGCAGAGCTGTGATCTGCTTCCCGCATGCCCCGCTGGCCCTGACGCAGCTCCCTGCTCAGCCACACATGCCCTGCCAGCACTGCTGGGGCCGGTCTCCATGGAAACCTTGGCCCTGCGCTGTCACAGCACTGCCGCTACTGGGGTCTCCGTGGAAACTGGCCGCAGAGATGTGGACAACGGCTGCTGGGAAATGGAGTTTAGCCACTGGCCGGATATACCATTTTGCCTGCCCCGAACTAAACTCATACAAATAAATCAATAAGCCAACATGCAAATTCATTCTGACTTAGGATTCAGGAATTTGCTGGATTATGAAAATCCTGATCTGTCTAGTCACTCTAAGGCAAGAATGACAACACTGAATTTCTGTACAACAGCCACTCTCCTATATAATCACGGAAGATTAATAAATATTTTGATAACTGGCATTTCTTTGCTTGTCCCTGTGAGAAAGGCCATAAAAAGCACCTAGTCCATTTTGAGGCAATAGCTAAAACCCTTCAAGTGACATATATATAAAGCTGCATCCTGTGCACATGGAAAAAAAAGTTACATTCAGAAAACTTTATTGTTAACACTTAAAAATATATTGCTGCTATTTGCTCACAACTGACAGCATTATGGAAAACATTCTATTAAGGAAAGATATTCCTTGAATACTACATGAAGTTTGTGCACAAAATTTAGAAGACAACTGGTCAGAATGAAAACAAACTGAAAGTGGAGTACTCACTTGTAACGTAGTGTCGAAAACAACAAGTTTGGAGCTTGTTGGAACAATGTCGTAACACTTGTGTGACCTCATGAATCGCACATAAATGTCACTTTCAGATTCTTCAAGTGCTGCAAGAGAAAAGGGACAAAACATTTTTAACAGTTATTCTTCCAAAAGATATGAGAAATACACACATTAACTTATTTAGGCAACATTTAGTAGACGAACAGCAAAAGCCATATCCTGAGCAAATTTGTTCAGACTGGGAGACATGGTCTAAGACTCCGATCTCAATTTTTCCTGTTTTCAATCATCTTGCCGTTCACACTACTTATTCCAAATGTAAAATATATACTCCGATCTTCTTTAGTGGAAATGGATTTTGCCAGAGATAATAGTTAAAATATCAATTTTTGCCAACAACATTCACAGTTTGTAGGCTCTACATAAACAAAGAGTCTGTTTATACCTACATGTAAATCATAGCTTGAGACCTAACTGATGGACTGATTTATTCTGGAAAAATTCTACCACTGGGCGCTAACAGATGTGGGGAAAAATAAACCCAAAACACGCTTTACTGGAAGAAGCAGCGCAATACTTTGACCCGGCTCTGCAGCATTTGTATAGATCGGGTGCTTCAGTGGGGCTTCTTGGTGCTTTTATCTACAGTCAACTGAATCACCTATTTCAGGGTTTTCAACTTGGGATGGCCTCAGGGGGTACTCAGCACTCCCACTGATCAGCTGTGGGTGCCCCCCCGTCAACTGGCTGCTGGGGGTCCCCCCCCCGGCATCTGGCTGCCAGGGGACTCCTGCCTTCTCAACCGGCTGCTGGGGGTACACTGACCCAAAAAGGTTGAAACCCCCTGAGCTATTAGATAAAAGCACCAAAAAAGCCCCACTGAAGTACCTGATCCATACAGATGCTGAGCAAGCTGGGTCCAGCTAATACAATACCTCTTCTGGGCATGCACTGAGCCCAGTGCAGGAATGCATGGAATTTAATGGAAAAGTGCCTTTTTTTTTTTTTTTGTTTGTAAGCAACCACTAAGTCTATCCAAAGTATTTTTCAATTAGGATGGTAATTTTGTGTTATCTCATGTTTCCTGGGTACACATTTCTCTGAAAAACTAGCAGACATGTTTGATAAATATGAATGAGTGAAGTAATAGTTACATAGGTGGATCCAGGATTTACTAAAGGGGGATGTGGCACACTGCCCTTTAGACCATGGGGAGGGTTGAGGGAGGGCGGTGTTGGGTGCAAGGCAGGGCAAAAGCCTCTAGGTCAGCCACAGACCCTGGGGTGCCAGGCAAGGAGCAGGTGCACAAAGATGACCTGACTGCTGCCACTGTACCCAGCTGACCTGGCCATGTTCCTACTCTACTCCAGATGGAGACTGCAAAAATCAGCTGCATAGGGTGATGGACTTGGCTGGGGACTATGGCAGTAGTGAGTGGGCTCCTCCTTCCAGCACCTATAGGCTCTTTGCCCATGCTATCCTCACAGGTGTTGCTCTGCTGGTTGGAAGCAGGCACTGGAAAGAGAAACCTGTGTGCCCACCACTACCATTCCTGCCTGAGCCTGGCACCCCACAGAGCTGGTCCCTGAAGCCTGTGGGTTGAGTATGGTAGGACCAGCTCTGGAGCTGCCCACTATGCTTGCACCAGCTGGGAACAGCAGTGGTTGGGAGATGTAACAGCATCATTGCATACCCACCCAGATCCACCCCTCATCATCCTTAAAGGGCTCCCTATAATGTTAAGATGCTTATACAACTTGGCAGTATTTTAAACGTTTGGCCTGGCACAGACTTAAAATTTTATTACAAGTAGTTCAAATGTTAGAAAGAACAGACAAAGGCAAAACTCTTCCCTCCCAGCCCCAGTGTTAAAACGACCTGCTGACCTTTCCTTTGAACAGGTCTGATATCCCTGTGCTCTAGAGCACTGGGCTCCAAACTTCTTTGATCACGCACCCCTATCTATATAAATAGAAGTTCTGATATTTTCTTCCTGCACCCCAATGGATCATCTTGTGTGCACCCCACTTTGGAGACCACTGCTCTAGAGGAGGGACTTGAAATTTACCAAATGGTTTAGTCTGTGGTGCCTCATAGACATTAAAGGAAAGGCTCAAAGAGATCTGATTGATTAAGCGTGTGGCCAGGTCACTACTTAAGATGTGATTAACTGGTTAATCATGTCTTAAGTGTAACATCTGTTAGGAGCCTGTGGGCAAAGGCTGAATCTCTTGCCTTGCCTGTGAAAAATCCATCCCATTTAGCTGGTATGTGCCTTGGAAAATGGTGCTGTTCACGCACGCACAGCAGTTGCTAAAGTGCCACCCTGCCCTAGCTTCTACCTGACCGCAGATTAACACAGCTAACCACCTGATACTTGGTAGAGATTTGCTAAAATTTAGTAGCACAATTCTCAAGAGTCTGGGGCCACTGTGCCTGCCCAAGCTGATCAGCTAGTGTCAGATAAACATTTGTCACAACCACAGAGAACCTAAGCACTCAGTTAAAGGTGTATCAGACTCTCCCTGAAGGCCAGGGTCAGGCTAGGCTTTGATTTATGACTAAGAAATCAGGCCCTGTGATGCGAATGACCCCTTCCTCCTCATGCTCTTGACAACCCTATCCCTGCTGGCACTCAGAAAGCATGGAAGAAAAAAGGTCTCCCATTCAAATACAGAAAAGATAAAAGCCAGACCAGGGAGAAGAAGAAGGAGGGGGCGGGAAGCAAGCAAGCAGATTGAAACATGGAGTCAAGCTAGACTGGGACTGAATGGGAGCAGGAGAGGGAAGCAATGACCAGGCAGGGTATGATGAGAGACTGGAAGCTAATGCAAGGTGCTGGGAGAAGATGGTTAGGTGATGAGAATAGCTAGGCACACAAAGAACTGGACAAAAAAACCCAAAGCAGGGAAATTTGAGTGAGGTACATTGGGTGGATAGGAAAAGACTGATAGGGTGAGGAGGAACTGGGACTGCCTGAGCAAGGAGACTGAAAGAGAAGCTTGCGAACCATCACTTTGTTTAACCCAGATGTAAGAGTAAGGTACTGAAGGGCTGTTTTTTCTATAAAGCCATTCTCAGCAGAATTTTACAACAGTTCTTTTAAAGACATACTCCAGAAAATGGCCAATGTGTCTTAAGAGTTTCTTGTGAAAAACACTTAACATTGTGCTTAAAGTAATAGATTCAGCAGCAAATCTCCACTTTGAAAATAGTGTGGTCTGATGGCCTAACATTTGTCCAAACACAATAGGGCAGAATCTTTAATTATGAACCAATTTTAGGTTATAATTATAAACTAGAATTTCATGCATCTATTACTTTGACTTCAGTCCCAGTTAAAGAAAAACGTAATTTTACCAAGAAAAATGTTGAAGGGGGATATGGGCTACACTTTGGAATATTAATCTTTCAAGATAAAAATCTATAAAAACTTCTGTGTAGCCCTTATTAATAACTAAGATTGTCACAGAAAAAATGATAAAGGACAGAAAACAGTCACCAGAATATTTTACACAGAACAGACCCCCCCCCCCCATCTCACATATTACAGTCCTTGTCCTTAAGGAAAACCTATACAACACCTTCAGGAAATAGACCTGGGAACAAAAATTTATAACTTAACACTGAAAATAACATATCACTAAAAATGATGGTTTTAATCGTTGACACCAACAAAGGTTTTATGCTCATTACTATTTACTCTAGTACAGCAGTTCTCAACCTTTTGCACTTTAAGTCACACCAACCGCTTTGTCAAAAAACCCTCGTCCCATGATAAAAACAAAACCCCACAAAACTGCACTGCTCGAGATATTTGTTGATTCCTCCATTTGAAGTGCAAACAACTTTGATTTTTTCCAATCAGGCAATGAGTTGAAGTCCCACCTATATGACCTTTGTGTCCCACCAGTGAGACTGCTCTAGTAGATGATAACAGGCTCTAATATAGTCTAGCATTTGCTTACATTAACTTGACCAAATTTTGGTTAAGAAAGAC